CTGTTTGTGTTAAGTTGTTGGGAAGTTGCTGAAGAGTATAATTTAGTACATTGAGAAGTCATTAGCATTCTATCCTCCCTCAGTTAACATGTTGGTTTGATAAATATCTGCTTTTCATGGAAATTAATTAGTTATGCTGTATATTGTCTATTTTGGCTCTTACAGAAAAGTCCTAATTACAACTAAAAGACAGACATTCGCCAAAACAATAAGTAAAAGCTTTATGCTTCATTTGTGGGACAGATTAACATTGAAGCAGCCTGGAATTGTGCAGGATATGTCATAAAATGAAGTGATTCACATCTCTATGTTCAGTAAATTCTGAAATTTCAGGACCAGGTTCAGAAGGCATAAGAGCAGGCAGGGTGTGTCGGAACTGTACAGGATTTTATTTAGGCCACAGCTGGAGTACTGTGTACAGTTCTGGTCACTTCACTATAGGAAAGATGTGATTGTACTGGAGACAGTGCAGAGGAAGTTGACCAAGATGTTGCCTGGGATAGAGCTGTTTTGCTATGAAGAGAGGCTGGATAAGTTCTGGTTGTTTACTATAGCAGAGAAGGCTCAGAGGAGACCTGCCTGGTGAGTATAAGATTTGAAGGGTGTGGACAGAAAAAGCAGCAGTCCCCCCTGGTTGAAGGGTTACTAACAACTTTAAAGTGAAGGTTTAGAGTGGATTTGAAGAAAACACTTTTCACTCAGAAGGTAGTGGGAATCTGGAATGCATTGCCTGGGAGGGTAGTTGAGGAAGGAAACTTTACAACCTTCAAAAAGTACTTGAACAAGCACTTAAAATGTGAAAACATTCAAAGTTATGGGTCAAGTCTGGAAAGTGGGACTGGTGTAGATTAAGAGTAGTAGTTTGTTGGTGCAGACTCAGGAGCCAAAGGGGTTCTTCTATAATCTCTGATTCTATGAGATTAAATTTGTGATGTGCATTTGTAATCCTTTCTGAACCTACCTTGCAGTAGTACTTTCTGGCTTCCATCTGATTTTGTTGTGTCCCTAAGCCCAACTGTAGACATCTGGCGTAGTAGAAAGCAGCCATGGCGATACCCTTTGCTATGTAAGCTGGCAGACAGTCAGTTTCTTCTGCTATTCGAGGGATATTGTCATATTCAGCAACTCTGGTTTAAATTTGAGACAAATGAGTTTGGAAAAACGGTTATGACAGGAACAATAAATAGTGCACTAAATGTTTTAATTAAGTAGAAATCTCAAATAGTTGGTAACTGGATAAATCTTGTAACACCCCCAACAGAAGGTGGTGCTAATTATATTGACGATTAAACAAATTCTAGCCACTCAGCCTTACATTGTTTAATTAATATATGAATATGTTGCCATAGGAAATGTTCAAGATCTGAAGAGGAAATGATGGCCTAGTCTGTTAAGCCAGAGATCCAAGTAATGTTCTGGGGATCCTGCCATGGCAGAATGTGGAATTTCAAACAAATCTGGATTAAGAGTCCATGTAAAATAATCCATGAAACCATGGTCAGGAAAATACCATTTGTTTTACTAATGTCCTTTCCGGTAGGAAACCGTCATCCTTACCTGATCTGGTCTACATGTGACTCCAGACCCCTAATGTTTCATGGCTTCAGGTTGAACATGGGCAAGGAAACATAGGCCTAATGACTATGATGCTCCATTTGGCTGGATGAATCTGTGCTCCATGTTGAAAAACATTTGGAGGAAGCGGTAAGGGTAGCCGACCACAAAATGTACTCTGGGTGATGGATTTCAATGTCCACCACCAATGGGTGGCTTGGTAGCAGCACTATTGATTAAGCTGGTCAGATCCTAAAGGATGCAGCCACTAGACTGGGTCTGTGACAGGGAGCGAGGGAACCAACAAGAGGGAAAAACGTGCTTGACCTCAACCTTACCAAACTGCAGATGCATCTGTCCATGACAGTATCGGTAACAGTGACCATAGCACAGTCCCAGTTTCACATTGAGAATGCCCTTCATGGTGTGGCACTATCACCATGCTAAATGGGTCAAACTTCAAACAGATCTAGCAGAATTGTGCTCCAGCACAATCTGTAAGCTCATGACTTGGCATATTCCCCCATTTGACCATTGCCGTCAAGCCAGGGAATCAACCCTGGTTCAATGGAGAGTGCAGGAGGGCTTGCCAGGCCCAGCTTCAGGCTTATCTAAAAATGAAGTATCAACCTAGTGAAGTTAACAAACAGGACTATTTGTGTGCCAAACAGCGTATGTGGTAAGTGATAGACAGAGCTAAGTGATCCCAAAACCAATGGATCAGATCTTAGCTCTGCAGTTCCACCACATCCAGTTGTGAATGGTGGTGGACAATTAAACAACTCACTGGAGGTGAAGGTTCCACCAATATCCCCATCCTCAATGATGGAAGAGCCCAGCACATCAGTGCAAAAGATAAGGCTGAAGCATTTGCAGCAATCTTCAACCAGAAGTGTTGAGTGTAAGATCCATTTTGCTCCCTCCCAGTGGTTGAAGCATTACAAATACCAGTCTTTAGCCAATTCAATTCACTCCACATAATTTGAAGAAACAGTTATAGGACTAGATTCTGCAAAGGCTATGGGCTCTGACAACATACTGGCAATAGTACTGAAGACTTGTGCTTCTGAACTTGCTGCTCTTGTAGCTAGGCTCTTCCAGTACAACACTGGCATCTACCCGAAAGTGTGGAAAATTGCTCAAGGATCTCTTGTACACAAAAAGTAGGACAAATCTAAACTGGCCAATTACCAGCCCATCAGTCTATTCTTGATCACCAGTAATGTGATGGACAGTGTCATCAACAGTGCTATCAAGCAGCACCTACTCAGCAATAACCTGTTAAGTAATGCTCAGTTTGGGTTCTGCCAGGCCCACTCAGCTCCTGACCTCATTACAGCCTTGGTTCAAACATGGACAAAAGAGCTGAATTGCAGAGGTGAGATGAGAATGTCAATCCTTGATGTCAAGACTGCATTTGACTGAGTGTGGCATCAATGAGTATCAGGGGGAAAACTCTCTGCTGGTTGGAGTCGTAACTGGCACAACATCATGGGCTGAAGGGCCTGTACTGTGCTGTACTGTCCTATGTTCTATGTTGGCACATAGGAAGATTGTTGTGGTTGTTGGAGGTCAGCTTTGAGATATCACGGCAGGAGTTCCTCAGGGTGTCCTAAGCTAAACCATCTTCAGCTGCTTCATCAACAACCTATTCTCCATCATAAGGTCAGAAGTGGGGATGTTCACCAATGACTGCACAAAGCACCCTTTGTGACTCCTCAGATACTGAACC